TATAAGAAGCGAGAACTGATCAAGTTATAACTTTAGGGAATAATTAATATTAATGTTTGTGAGATTATCGAGATATACAATAGTGCGTTGAGATCTGCTCTAGATATAATGAATATGTACAACAGGCTAATTTGTTAGTTAAATCAATAGTTAAAATAATGATAATGTTAAATTAAGAAAAACGGCATACGAAAAAGAAAAATAATAAGCAAATAGCAACAAGTCAAACAAAACAAAAAAGACAGATCGTTTTCTTGACGATCGATTATCCTTAGAAAACAACTATAGTCTGCTAGAGATTTTTTACTTAAGCATTTGGTTTAATTTTTAGAATCGTTTATATTCATCGAATGTCTGTTTATCGAACATATACACGTATTAAAAATCAGATAAAAATGTTTACTGAAGGATTTAAAACATTAATGAAACCAGAATGGGTTAATATGTTTTCTGTTCCAGAATTACAACAATTAATATCTGGTGAATCATCTGATGTCGATCTTGAAGATCTCAAGTTTGTCTTTGTTTTTATATTTTGGAATAATAATAGGAAAAGTTTGTTTTTTGTTTTTTTGAAATGTTAGATCAAATGTTGTTTATCAAGGTGGTTATCATCGAACACATCCAGTGATTAAATGGCTTTGGCAAACACTTGAACAAGATTTTTCAAGAGAAGAACGAGCACTTTTTCTTCGAGTTTGTTTAATTTTTCTATTCGACTAATGATGATTTGTTTGTATATGTTTTATTTTTTTAGTTTGTAACAAGTTCAAGTCGTGCCCCACTTCTTGGATTTCGTTCACTAAATCCACCGTTTACAATTCGTTGTTTAGAAAGTTCAGAACATGAAGTAAAATTTAATATTAATTTAAAAGGTATTCCAGTTTTATTTTTTGTGTTTCGAAATTTTAGGAAGAAGGTGATTCATTAGGAAGAATATTTCGTAATATGGTGACTATTAATCGAACATCATCGGAAAGACTTCCATCGAGTTCAACATGTTTTAATTTATTAAAGTGAGTTTTATAACTTGATATTTTTTTATAATTATATTCGATTTTTCTTTTAAAAAGATTACCGAATTACAAAACACGACGAATACTTTTGGATAAACTGCGATATGCTATTAAAGCAAATGCCGGTTTTGAACTGTCTTAAATTTCTTTTTTTTTGTATATAAATTGAATAAAAATAAATTCAATCTATTGATTATAATTAAATTGCTTTAAACAGTACGGGTTTAAGTGTGCTGGGCAAGTGTGGCAGTGGGTAGATATATCTGATTATTTGAATAGTAAAGAGAAGCATCAAACTGCACACACACCGACACCATCGCTGACATTCTTGTCGACATCAACTGACGAAAATTTTTTTGAATTTCGGGATGGGTTTACAGTCTAAGCATTGTACAGAGATAAAAGGCATGTTGAATGTTTCTTTCATTTAGAAGTTCTATAACAGAGAGAGTAGAAAAGTTTAATTGAACAAGAAGTTATGTATTGCACGACCTGTTCTTCTACTTCGCTGACTTTTCTTTATTGACATCGAACGACAATGCATAGCGAGTGCACTATCTCTTCAGTAATGATATAAAAATCGTAGGCTGTATACATAAGAAAAAACTAGAGAAACAAGAAAAAATTCTATCACATAATCATGTTATCTCAACCGCGGAGTATCAGCGAAATATCAAGCATGAAAAGAGATTAAGGACATAGTCTTTGCTTCCAACTGCGAAATAAAAGGAAGAATAAGGATTGAGCTGTATCCAGTTGAGCTCGGGTCGGATCGGATCACAAAAATTTGACTCATGTCGAACATTGGCACATCCACATCTACACTTGGGTTACAGCGACGAGCGTTACTTGTTTATACTCCACTTCAAAGAGCATTCTTCAAATAGACATTCTATGTACTCGTATCAATATTGTCTCGATGTTCTGAAAACTTTGATATTTTCAATCTTTACTCATGTTTATATTGCTCAAAACGGATAATGCTTACGGTTCGTTTTTAGTCAATAAATATGAAAACATGTCAACATTACGGTAGTAAACAGTCTAAATACAGATCGTAAGCTGTCTGTATTTGTAGCGTTTGCTCCGACCGAGAAGTACAGTCGATATTTTAATAATAGCATGGACAGTTAGTATACAATTCGTTGACCATACATTACAGCTATTCAAATCAATCTATAAAATATTCGTAAATGGATTATACTTCCACCATTTTCACTCTATCAACTATATGAAATACGGCATAAATTCATGATTCACAGACGGGCGTTACACTGTCAATACGGTCACGTTCATTCAATCAATTTTCGTTACAAAGTATCATTTGATATCCTGACGCATTATATATAGTCGTTTGTCTCGTTTCGTTTTACCAACGAATTTCGCTTAGTGTCTTTCAAATTTTTGTCATACTCATCAACGATTGAAATGACATAGCATTCGCTTCGGACTATTGCGTCCAGGAGGTGGAGCTTTCACTTTCCTTTTGCTTTCAGAAAGGAAAGGAAAGTTGCAATCTTTCATATTGTTCAAAATTTGCAGTATATGTATTATCGACAACAGGGAGAATAATGCAATCATTTTAACAATAAATAAATAAAATGTCTTTGTCTTGATAGAAGGCACTATTTTACATGTAATAGACAGAACATTGAGAATAATTCTTTATTTAAGACTTAAACATGTTATTAATAGATGTTATAATTTCAATTCGTAGAGAATTGCATGCTGTTTCAGAGAATGTGTTTTAGAAAAAGTGAGAATATTTGTTCAATATCTAGAAACTATTGCTTAAGTTAGATTATTTATTTTTTTGAAATCAATAAAAAACTTGTAAAACATTTCGCTTGTAAGGTGTATCAAGACATAATTTGGGTGTGGGTGTTCCTTTTGTCTTTAATCACATACACCCACACCCACACTCACACCCTACATGCATTCGGAATCTACAAAACACAGACAATATATTTGACTAGTAAAAAAAAACAAAAAAAAAGAAGTAAAAGATCTTACCATCTTTTAAATAAGTGTTAACAATTAATTAATAAAAATTATTTTTTGTTCTTTTAATCATATGTAAATAAAAAGGAATTGCTAATTGTTCGTGTTAACTTTCATCAGTATCAAATGATTTTGAATAAAAATATATATCAGCATAAGCAGCAAATACAAAAGATAATCCTATCTGAACGAAAAATATGAACACTCTTAAAATTTAGCTATGTGAAAGATATTTGAAAATAAATTGAAATTTACCTTGAAAACTATCGCTAAATTCTAGAATGTTAATACATAATTTTGAAAACTTTTAAACTTCAATAAATCATTCAATGTTATTTATATAGAACAACAAAAACAGATTTTCATACATCTGAGAAACAATGTTAAAAAAAATGCTTACCACTTTGAGATTCATCAAATTATTTTAATTAGTTCAAGTAGTGCAGATGTGAGAGAATTAAACTAAACTTTAAGAATTTTAATACACCAATAGATAGTTTAAATTGATTGCATACAATAAATAGAATAAATTTCTCGTTCACCATATTTGCAAACTAATGAAATGAAATGAACGAAGAAACAAGATAATATTATTCATTTCAAACTTTCCAGATAAAGAGAATCAATAACCAATAAAATTATTGTCTTAAATATCACTTTTTTTTTTCAATTTTAGATTAATTTTTTTTTCGTACGAAAACTTACAATTTTTCGATAGTGGGTGTGGGTAACAGTGAAGAGACGACAAACACCCACACCCTAAAATATCAAATATAGATGTCATATGAACATGAGAGATTAGGAGATAGACGTTCTCTTCATCCACACTCTTGTCGAGCAAACAAACACATTCCGAACAAGTAGCTCGAAACATGTTCATCTGCTGACATATAGCGCTTTCGTAGTAGTTTTTGAGAATTCTCTCAGTGTTCGTACGCACTCACCTGTTCCAAATCCATTTTTAGTTCATTTGCCTGAACGTATATAGAACATCAACGACAGATTTGATCTAAGATCATTTCATCATGGTATTGAGACAATCTTGTATATAGTTGGTGATATGGCCAGATGTAGACACCGGCGGACCGGCCTAGGATCTAAAAGTAAAATTTTGCCCACGTAATATTCGAACCCCTATAGCTGTTCAAATATTACGTAGACACAGGGTGTGGCAATTGCCACACCTCGCTCCATGGACCGGCCCGCCAATGGATGGAGATGAAGAGAACATGTATACTCTACTCTTTCATGTTCATATGACATCTATATTTGATATATTATATTAATAGTATTAACGATTAACTATACGTACCAATGAATTTTTTTTCTGTTCTGTGTATATTAAAACAATGGGTATTCTTTTACGAACATGATCTTGTAACATAAAACAATTGAAGAAATTCCAATCTATGTATGTGAATTGTGTGTGTAATGTTGTAGCACCATCACTTGTGTGAAACTCCACTTTCGCAAAAATATATAAGTGAATATATATATATTTCTTTTTTATAAATTTTTATCAGAATTATTATCTCTAAGATTTCTGTCGGAATTAAGTGCGTAAGTGGATCTCTCAATCGTCATCAGTTTGATGATTCATGTATTTGTTATAATAGACTATTTTGACTATTTTGCAATTTTTTCCACTCCGTCAATGTGTTTGGGATTGAATTAAATAAACTTCATTATTTGTGTAGCAATTGTTCACACCTCATATCGTAGGATGAAGATAGACAGACGAGATCAGAGAAAGAGAGAGAGAAAATAGTAGCTAAGAAGTCTTGAGGTAATTTTAAATCTTAAAAAAAAAGAACTAAAATAAGTCATCATTTAATATGTCAATTTTAATCTATTTTGGTATTCATAATGTGAAGATTTGAAAAAGAATTACAAGTTTTCGCCTTTTTTTTTTATTCTTACTGAAAATTTCAAGATATTTAGTTTATTTTTAGACAAAAAAATCGTAGTTATTTTGTTACATCTATGAATATAAATTGTCAACATAGTGCAATATCAACAATATCTGAAACTACACTTGGTCAACGACAAATTACATTAGAAGAAAAAACATCATCAATTGTATGTAGAATAATTACAAGATTTCTTTTTTTTTTTTTATTTTTTGTAAATATCAAAAAAACCTTCAATTCACTTGGCGTTTATGTACGAAGAGTTTATTTATATGTAAGTAGATTTTTTTGACAAGAGTATATTATAGATGTAGGTTTGATTAGATAGGAAAAAAAAATTTCTTTGAAAGAAAGTTGAGTTTGAATTAATGTCTAGACGACTTATAATGAAAAATTGAATAATGAATTATTCGAATGTAATGAGATCGTGGTTTTTTCATTACTTTTTGAATGATCAAATTTATGAGTGTATAGAATTAAATTAGTATAGAGCCGATCGGAATAGTTCTGAATCCGAGTTCAAAATTTTTGGAACCAACGAACTATACACATTGCTACAGAGTTATGTAAGGCGAAGATTGGAAAACTTTGCTCGACCATATAGAACAATCCAAATGACGAATGTACATCTGAAATTTTGCCTAAAAGTATTTCTCATGATTCTTAGAATACTGTGAAAGTTTCAGTTAAATTGGATATTTCTCTCCTAGAGATATCTAATTCTGAAAAAAAAGCTGTCTTTTATGACTTTTGTGATATTTAATCGATTTTTGAATGTTCGAAATTTTGAGAAAAAACGATTCATTTTGACTTAAGTTTTCAGGATAATCTAAGAAGCATGAGATCTATTCATGTAAAAGTTTAAGGTGAAAATCTGATCAAATAGTTATAAATATACAAGGAAAGCTCATTGAGACGATATCTTTTCGATTTTTCTATTTCCACTAAGATTAAATATAACTTTTATCGATAGCTAACAGTTAGATATTTTCTCTCATGAAAACAATATATTTGTATATGTCTTTCTAATATCAACGCCAGAAATAGATGGAGAAAACTCTAAGACAAATATCTCGAGATCAGAAGCAATTAGAGGCCTGCAGTTTTCACTATTGGAAAGAACAATGTTAGAAACATCGATCTGTATAAGATTCAGACTGTTTTCTGTAATAGCGTTATGCTAAAGACGCTCATGTGCATCAGCAATTAATTTATAAATTTAGTGTTATCATTGTGTCTGTTTTATTAAACTTTATCGTTGGTTTTCATGACTCACATTTACCAACATACGTTCCTTCTATGACTTGCCTCGCTAACAGTCAACTAATTAGTATTATTAAAGTTGAACACTGGAATTCTCGTTCATAGTAAAACTAATCGTGTTCAGTTAAAGTTATTAAATAGGTTTTCATATATTCTGCATCAATCTATCTGGTTTGTTTTTAAACATTCCAGAGAGAAATGGTAGTTGCTAACCAAAATGAAGTATTTTTGTGCGAAAATCACTTGAAAAAACATCTGTCTTTTATCATAACTCGATCACTGTTTTAACTCTGATAAAAATGAATATACTGATAGTCGTTCGGGTGCGAAATATACAATTTGGCATCAGTAGATCACCTTCTGCTTTTATGTAGGTTATGAGAATAACATTTTTAATGAGCACTATGGAGTTAAGTGAGTGCGTTATCACAGTATTCGGTATGTAGCTCAATAATAACATGACATTTTTGAAAAACTTCTTGTTTTCAGCAGATAGTCTAGACTCTCTACTACAAACTTGCTCTCGATTGTATGTTATTTTAACTTAAATATTTGTGAAAAATGAACCATCTTTGACATCGCTGAGAAAGACAGGACTTTTTTGTGAATATGTTACTCGCAAGTATTTTTCTTATTAAACGTGAACCATGAAGTCAATCGAGGTGAAAATTTTAGATATTAAACACCTTCATAGCATGCATCCATGCACAAAATGTCAGAACTTTATTCTTAGTTATTTGGGAAACATTAACATGGAAAGTTATCAAAACGTGATTGTGTTGCTGCGGACAAGCTATCTACCTTTTTCGAGTAATTCTTCCAATTATTCGTAACACTAACGTACGTTGACTTCGCATACTGTCTAAGATGTTTTTAAGTAATCTTTTTTGATGACTTTGTAACTTAAATTTCGCTGTATGTTCTTTTAAAATCTTCTGTAGTAAAATTGCCGGAAATATATGTACATTAGTACGTCTATTTGTTTAGAAATTGAAAATTTTTTTCAGACATTAATGTAAGAAGCAGATCAGTTGCTTTCTCATTAGTACTGAAGTCATAATAGCGGGTGGTCGGATCGAAGTCAATGAATAGGTGGCTAACAACTGTGTCCCCTACAATGTTTACCGTAACATAAATCTGATTTTGAGTTACATATGATTAAGTACTCGAGTGTACTCTAGTACGATTTTGGCGGTACTCGTGCTCGACTCGTACTAGAAAAAGTCCGTATTTCCCCACCTCTGGTATATGATTGATATTATTATTTTTCTTTTATTATTAATAATAGTAAAAAATAGGAAACGACATGCAACCTTCTTATCATGGTTTATACATATAATAATAGACACACACATGTAGATCCTTCCCTTTCTGATTTCTTTTTCTTTTTAATCGATACTTATTTTCGATTATCGTCATTAATTAATAAATAAAAACTTTATTGGCTACTGTAAATAAATACATTTAAGTTATGAGCTGTCGTATTTTTCTATATCTTGAGTTCGGAAGACTTACCTCATTGATAATAAGACTCTGTATAGCTATTCACAAAGGCTGAAAAAGCCCTGTCTTCTGTTAATTATTTTTATTATTTCGTAATTTTAATATCTTTAAGTGCAAATCTAGTGCAATATTCGAGACATCAAATCGATCGAAAAAAATAATAAATACATTCATAATTTTTATCTTTTCTGTTGTTTTTTTTTCTTAACATAGAATTTAAAATCAAAATCGAAACGTCTATTAACTCATTGTATAATGCCAGAAAACGATGAAAATCAAGATCATGAAACATCACAACAACAATCTGATAAAATAAATAAAATAAAGTACTCAAACTTAATTACTACTGGTACATTTAATCAAGTAAGAATATATATATATATATTTAATAATTCTAGTTGTTTGATAATGAAGTACCAATAACAGGGTTGGGTGTGAGTGTGGATATGGGTGTAGGCGTGGATGGGTATAGGTGTGGGTGTGGATGTTTTCTCCAATATACACCCACATCCACACTCCCCACACCCACACCCATTCACACTCCCCACACCCACACCAACACACCCACACCCACACTCCCACTCACCCACACCCACACCTACCCACACCCTCTTCTCGAAAATCTTATCTATCATTCAAATTGTTTAAATCAAATGTCATGTAAGTCAATCTTGATCTATACAATATTCAAACAAATCCATATATTTTAGTCCGGCTATTCTTTAATATCGACACCAAAGATCTAGTCCAAAGCTCGAAACAAGTTTCGAGTGCCATCTGTGATGGCTCAAAAGAATTTTCAAGTGCCATTAAAGACGGCAGTTATAACTTCAAGTACGGCGGTTATGCTGTAGCATTGGGATTGGCAGCCATAGGCGCTGGCATTGCCATCGGGAATATTTCGGGAGGGAAAACAAACGATCCTCCGCTAATAATAAGTAAGTTAAGGGGATCAGGTTTCAAAAAGAAAATATCGTTCTTATTTATTTTTGCAGTGGCTGACCCTCATCAACAAACAGCAACATAAGGACAATAAGTTATTTAAATTTTTTTATTTTTTGTTCATTGTTTGGGTTATTGTTTTTTTTGATTTTTTTTGTTTTTTTTGTTTTTTTTGTTGGAAAACTCATAAAAGTTTCTTTTTTTTCTTATTATAGATTTATTTTTTGTTTAAAATATGTCGAAGGTATTATAAGACAACAACAGCATTCAAGTCAAATCTTATCACAAGATAAACAACAAGTACCTATGTCAAGAGAACGTTAAATGACAAGAGCAACAAATGCATATTCACTAACAATTGAACAACCCGAACGAATGAGTTTAACATCACTTGAAACAATAACAGATACAGTACTAGAATTAATGGAAGCTTGTATGAATGATATAGGGGTGTGGGTGGGTGTGGGTGTGGATGTGGGTGTAGATGTGGGTGTGGGTGTAGGTGTGGGTGTGGGTGTGGATGTGGGTGTAGATGTGGGTGTGGGTGTAGGTGTGGGTGTGGGTGTGGGTGTGGATGTGGGTGTAGATGTGGGTGTGGATGTAGGTGTGGGTGTGAGGAAGATAGTAATACACACTCACACCCCACACCCACATCCCACACCCCACACCCACATCCCACACCCCACACCCACACCCACCCACCCACACCCACCCCCACCCCACACCCCAAGGGGGAAACGACTGACTTTGGACTTTTTTGACTTCAGTGACTT